TTCCCTTTCCATGTTTACGCTTTGAGTACAAAATCACTTATGAGCCGCTCGTCGTCTGTAGCAAACGACAGCGAGCATGTTGGCGCATATATGCGCGCAGATGTTCGTCGTTTGTAGCCAGTTTAAGGTAGCCGATTTTGTCAAGAGGGAGCGAGAAAACTGTTTTTTGAGCAAACCTTTTTTTATTGAATCATGTAATATGACTGCATCACTAACTAAATTCTTACTAAATTATCGAAAAAATTGTAGTCAATATCTCGGAAACTAAAGGATATATCTTAAAACTGTAAACACCAATCGAAAGACCTTATTTCAAAATATGTAACTGGATCTAGAACTAAAAATCGTCAAAATGGCTCTTACGACAATCTTTTACCCAGGCGACGATTTATAAAAATTTCCCTTTTTCAATTCATATGTAATTATATCTGACTGTCTCATTACCCATCTTTCACCGATTTTCTGTACAAAAGCATCGTTATCAAGGCGAATTTATACAAGGTGGTGTTACTGACGAATTCGGATTTTCGCAGCGGTCCTTCTGAAAGTCAAAATAATGTGTTTGTTTTAAACAAGGCGAACTCATATTATAACAAACACATAATTTTGACATTCAGAAGGACCACGGCAAAAATCCAAATTCGGCAGTAACACCACCTTGTATAAATTCACCTTGAACGTTATTTTCACAAAAATTAAAAATCTGGAAAAAATTGGCATTCATCAGGTCCTGTCTCCACAGGAAAACACTGATATCGTGATAACCATGTCACAAAATATATTTCCAATGGAGACCGCCAATTTCTCATGGGCTGCAATATATGTTAGCGCTTATTGCTTGACTTCTATTGCAGGCAATTCGATAGTTGACAGCCATATTTTCGTTTGAAAGAAAGCGTGCTGGTGGTAACATCGATAAAATTTTGATATTAAATCAAAATAAAAATCTATTCCCTATTGGATTATTTATGATTACGTTTTAGGAAATTATTCAGCAAGTTGAGAGAATGTTGTCTGGTGGTGTCATGCGGCAAATGCTTTTTTCAAGACATCAATGTGCTCACACACAAAAACTTGCAATCATATTGCTCGTCAAAATGACGGTTGGTAGACCATCGGTGTTTGCCTGTGGAGTTCTGTGGTAAAGAAAACGAACCGGTGAGCTAGAGGAAAAAGAAAAAATGGACGTAGTCCGTCCCTTTTTCCTGAGTTGAATAGTAACTTAACTTAGAATATAAAGTTCTGAACACATTGAAAACGACGAGCTACGGGCCACAGCTTCCAATTTGTTATCTTCGTTATCTAAACGCTTTGTCGATGGCGACAGGATTTTTTTGAACGCGGCAGCGACATCATGAATTTTTAAGGCTAGCCTAATATTCGCGGCTTGCGGTTTGGTACGCACGCAGTCGAATTTGTTTTTTTTTTTCGTCACTCGAAATTGGCTTGCGTGCGTTTGCATTTGATTTCATTGAGCGAAAGGTCAAATCAAAATGTCACGCAGAACAAAAATTTGGAAATCGAGTTAGCTTCTTACGCACGCCGTTCAATTTCGGTTGGTCCCATACAAGTTGTATGTGCATGAGAAATTTTTGACCGTAAATTGGCGGCGTGCGTGAATATTAGGGTAGCCTGTTATGCAGTTCACGCTTTACATAAAAATACAACTCTGGTATTATTTTCACATTGGTGAATATACATTGTGTATTCGTGTCACCATGGTGAATATATATTTGTGTTTATTTTTCTTCTGGTTACGCGAAACAGGCAGTAATTTTTATTGAATTTCTTAAGTGTTTGTACATTTTATGTTTTTGTTTTATAATTCCAGGAATTTTATATGTCAGCATGAACAAGATTGTCCAAGGAGCAACTGAATCATGTTGGAAGATTTTTAAAACATATTGGCGGTATGCTGTTTTCCTGCTGGATGCCCGCAATCTCATTTGCTAAATGTGTACGAAATTTGTTTTGAGTGCTTTTAAAAGTAAATTCGATTAACTACTTTTTTGTAATTATGTATTCCAGATAAGCAAGAAAAAGCAGGGGAACCATACAAGATTTCGGATTGCTCTTTGGGTGCGATGATTGTTGAGAGGCAATGGCTACCGAAATTTTCGCTACACAAAATAACACGCTATCAGTGTACATACGTGTATCGAATATAATTTGGCGAAGACTCAAACAATGGCATCTTCACCCAACATGACAGAACGCTGCTGGTGGGTTGTTGTTGTTGTTGTAACAGCATACAAACTCCCCAAAGACTTTTTGGGGAGTGTTGCTGGAGTGACAGTCCTTGGCCAGATATAAATCTGGGTCGTTCCGGTTACGTAGACCCGACTGTCGTGGGAACGTCTGCTGCTGGTCGGTCATCCACGTCGCTGTGAGCTAAAGAAATTACGTGATTCACGAGACGGGTTCCAACTTTCGCTATCGCTAAAATGCTTAAGTTAACATATTATTCGAATTTTTGGCGATCTCCAAAAATCGCGATTCTGTCCTCCCTGCCGCTAAAAACTGCCTAGACTAAATTTGATTATTTTATCCAGCCGTAAGTTGCGCTGTGCAGCAACAACAGCTGTCAAAATCGGTTTCCAGAGCAATGGAGATAAATAATGGAAATATAAATAAGTAATGTTCATGGTACAATAAAAACATGGTACAATAAAAACAGGTAGAAGCCAAATTGACATCAAACCTACAAAAGTC